ATAATTCTTCCATCACCCTGGCTATATCTCAATAGATTTAAATCAGTCAAACTGTGGTGTGCTAGGAAATACTTTTTTTATCACTCTGATTGATGTTTTAGGTGTAAACCAGGCTTTGACTTAAAGACTTCAATTGAATTACCGCCTAACTTGGTACCCACCTATTAAAAATTGTACTTTAGTTTTTATTAGAACCTTGCTGATTTCAGCATCATTTTTTATTTAGTATTATATTAAGGCCATAGTCTAGTAGCCTTGCTCAGCTCAAAAAGCTATTATTGCTCCCTTCTACAAAAAAAAAGAAAAAAAGAAAAAAAAAAGGTGTTCTTAACATCAATGGCAGTAAGTGATATTCAGTATGAGCAAGGAAATCAGAATCTGGGCCTTATTTTGCATCCAGTTTATTTTTACCATACTGTGGGTGTGGTTAATTCTGGACAGACAAAGAAAATGAAAGGGTCACTGCCGTGATGAATAAGTTAGTAAGATCAGACATGACAAGACATAGAAATGGCAGCAGGCAAAAGATTGTGACGGGGAGGCTTACCCAGTATAAGGTCCTGAGATTACTTGTTTTTGTTGTGTGTGTGTTATGTTCATTCTCATTTTTGTATTTAATTTATATCATTCATGTTTCCTAAATTGGCATAGGAGGGTTGGTCAGTGCTGAAGAGAGAATGAAACTGAATCATATTAATCATAAATCTAGCCTAGTGAACAGTGCTTTAACTAAATTAAACACCAAGCCTCTTCATGATATTTGATAGTATGCTCCAAGTCACAAAATGTGCTGTTGTAACTTGCAGTACATCCTAAATAATTTTAAATTGGCTTGGGTTCAGTCCTTATGATTTTTTGGGCTTACTTTTTTTCTGAGGTACATAAATTATTCTCCCAATCCCATTAATGTTTAATATGTTTGTTCAGTTGTCTTCCAAGAACACTTATACATAACTTACCTGAAATAAATTACATTTTTTGTAAAAACTTACAACACCTGAATAAAAGACTCTGGGGCTTGACATCCTGTATATTATGATTTACTTCTTGATTCAATAAATATTATATTAGGTACCATGTCAACTTTTTCCCCTAAGGACCAGAGTAGCTATTATTATTGGCCAAATACCGAAGTCCCTACTCAGTGTGAAATCATGCCCCAGCACTTCAAGGAGAGGGAAATCTGCATCCAGTATTGTCTCCCTCCTCCCCATGTCTGTAGGCTGCCCTGTCCTCATCCCTGTAGCCAGAATAACATTTTCATGGTCCTTTAATGGTACCTTCTTCCATGCCCCTATACTACCCCTAAGGGATCAAACTGTCTTGCATGGCCCTATGCCTAGAACACTTCCAGAATGTTAGTTTATCCAGAAGTTCTATGAGCTCTGTTGCAAACCCTATTTATAAATGGAGGAAACAGAGGCAGACAAGAGCTGAGAAGTCCTTTACAGTGTAGCTTCATTGTAGTTGCACTGACAGGGAGCTCAGGCACAGCTGCAGGTGGCCAAGAGCCTGGAAGGCCCTTGTGGGAATTGTCTTGTATTTTGGAGAATCTATAAAGTGAAATTAAGAGGGTTGTTGTTATGGGTTTTTTTCCAGGTGTGGGATAAACACTGGCTCTCCCTCCCAAAAGAAACAGTTTGGGGGGAATTTTATGAGTGGGAACATCACATAATTTTCCTTGGTCTGGACTGTCTCCCCAGTTTTTTGCTGCAGAAAATGGAGATTAAGACCTTTATTTCCACATAGTCTTTACTCTGGAACTACTCTCGTTATAAACCAATGGCTTTTGCTTGAGTAAGGATATAGTATGAGCTACAGGATATGGTCCATTATAATTATTTATTTGGCCCTGACAATTTTGTTCAGTCCTATGAAGAACATAAAGGAGGATGCGTTTTCAAAACTTTCATTATACTTTAAAGCCTTTGAATGCAGATGCACAGTAAGGATGGGCCAGTTGGAAGAAGTTGATTAAACAGAAAAGCAGACTTTATTTCTGAATATAACTAAGTATGAAAATATACGAGACATTCTTTTTCATGGTAGATTGTTGGTGAAAGGCTTGGTGAAGGAGGTGATTTTAAGGAGGGCTTGAAGCACAACAGCATGGAGACCTGACTGGATGGGAACATAGTTCTAGGTTACCTTTCTGTTTGTTACCCTTTTAAAACTATGCATTGAAATATTTATGGATAGCCGTTAACCTTGATATGTAAAGAAGTAGAATCGTAGGATTAGAAAGATCAGAATAAAAGTGGTTGGAGATAGAAAAGATCTCCTAAATCTTTCAGTCTTTCTCCTTGCCAACGCAAGGCTGTACATTATTTCACGTTAGTGTTTTGTGTATACAAGGTATAAATATTTTGAGCAAAAAGACTTGTAAATATGATTTCATTATTACATGCTCATTCCACTACTGCTATCTCCTATAGTCTCTCTAAGAGCATGTCATCCAACACACTAGCCACTAGCTACATGTGGCTATTTGGCCAGTTGAGTGTGGCCAGTTGGTTTGAACAATGTGGCTACTTGGCCAATTGAGTGTGGCTAGTTCACTATAGCAGTAGCCACTATAGTTCAGAACAGGTTGGACACCAGGGCTCTAAGAGCTTCTTCAGATACTATTTACACATGTACCTGCTATGAGAATTTTTATCTCCACATCTCAGTCTCCATCTGAAATATCTGATAGCTGTGGATCTTTTAGGAAATAATTTCCTTTTTAAAATGCGTAAACTGATTCAATGTCAGATATCCAGTATCTTCACAAAATACGGATCTGTTAAAACAAAGGTGTCTGTGATGCAATTAGGTCAAAGAGAAAGAAAAGAGGACTTCTGTCTCTTTAAACTGTAGGTAATGGTTTTCATGTCATACTCACACATCCAAAAGAATGTTGGTGTGGAGAACTAAAAGTTGTTTCACTTGGAAGTTTAAACTAGAAACTAAATCCTTAAATTATTACCAAAAATTATGGAATGCTTTGGTAATGAAACAATAGGTACAAGCTGCAGTAGCAATAGAAAGCAAATATTCTGTCCATTTTTAATGTAGTATTTAAAATATACGTGGACTCTTTTTTCCCCCAGTGGTCACATAAATTACTGACCAATAATTTCTTGGACTTTCTATTGCGGTCCAAAGTTCTTTCAGCTGCTGAAGAAGTATCTTCATCTTCCTGTACTTCCCCTCTGCTGTTACCATGAGGAATGTAAAGAGAACACCACCTTATGAGGCAGGCAGGGACTGGAGGAACAGAGCTAAGGAAGGTTTTGGTTTTTTTGGCCATTGGCAAATATTCTATGATTTATTATAGAAAAAAGAGATTCAGCCCAATTCTCTCCCAATGTAGGGAGAAAATATCCACTAGAGTATTTTATCTAATATTTTGTTGAGAGTAATTTTAAAAATACCAAGCAAAAAAACTTCCACAAATACCCTTAGATTATTTCAAAGCATAATACTGTAAATGTTACCATAAATTTTCTTCATTTCATCCCATAACTCCTAACAAAGCCATCATTGTTATTTCTTCCTCTCAGCTATCTGTGGAGTATTAGGATCTCTTCTTAGTCATTGTGTAGCAGCCCCTCTAATTATAGATTCATAGACTGAAAATCCAGAAAGGACTATTCTGTTAAAACAAGATTTAATAAAGAATTCCCTGGTGATAGCTGGACTTTTCGAATTAGAAAGTAGTCATCTACAATGTTCAGAAATTCCAATGATATTTTACTATTGGCACTATGATAACCTGTATAAAACAGGCCATAGAACTTCTCCGATATAATTCCTAGAGCACATCTTTTAGCAAAAATATCCAGTTTAGATTTTAAAATTGTCAGTGATGTAGAATTCACTACAACCCTTGGTAAATTGTTCCCATGGTCAATTACTCACCATTAAAAATGTATGTCTTACTTCCAGTCTGGAGGTCTAGTTTCAGTTTCCAGCCAGTGGATCATGTTATCCCTTTATCTCACAGGAAACAAAGGGTAAGAATAAATTATCAGTTTTCAGAATAGAGAGAGGTAATTAGTAGTATGCCCCAATGGTCTATACTGGGAACAGTCCCATTTGACATATTTATAAAGGGATAAAGAGTGAGGTGGTAAAATTTGCAGATGATATGAAACTGCTCAAGATAGTTAAGATCAAAGCAGACTGAAGAGATTCAAAAGGATCTCACAAAACTATGAGTATGTCCAGACTGCATCCCTCTGTTGGCAGAGGGATGCAGATTAGGCAGGTTGACATTGCAAATGAGGCAGGGATTTAAATACCACTAACATCAACATTGTTCTTGAATTGTGGATAGCAAAACTAAACACAACATTCCAACAGTGGTCACTAGTACCAGTACCAAATATAGGAAAGAATAATTTTTCTGTGCTTATTTGAGATTTCCCTGTTTATGTACCCCTGGTGTTGCATTACAGGGGAGTCCGGATTATCCAACCTTCACTTATCCGACCTTCCATTTTATCTGACATAGCCATTCGGCGTGCTCTTTACGCGTCCATGCTTCACATACCACCATGGTCATAGCTTCATTTGTTCCTTTGCACCAGTGATTTATGTTTGTGCTGTGATTGTGTTTCATTTATCCAATTGCATTTTCCCCTTAGTGTAATATAATTTTATTGTTTGAGGAACATGGCATGTGAAAAGAGAAAAAAAGTGGTTCTTTCCATTGAACAAAAACTTGAAGCGTTAAAGAGAATAGACAAAAGCGAGTCCATGCTAAAAACTGCATCTGAACTCAGTGTGGGGTGAGTTACAATTGGTGACTAGAAGAGGAAAATAAGTGAGTTAGAAAAGTGGTGCTATGATAGACCCCCAATTGCAGGACCGAAGGACAGAAAAACAATGAAAAAATGTGAAATGAAAAAGTGAGTGAAGCTTTGTTCTTATGTTTCACACAGCAAAGGGATAAGGGCATCCTATCACAGGCCCGATTCTGCAAGAGAAAGCTCTGAGTTTCCAAAAGGAATTTAATGAAGGGGAACCTGATTTCATGGCTAGTGGAGACTGGCTTGATTGCTGGAAAAAAAAGATATGGGTTAAGGCAGCTCAGTATATGTGGTGAAAAATTATCGGCAAATCAGGAAGGGTTTCTGAAATTTAAAGCAAATTTTCATTGTCTCATCGAAAATGAAGGATTATCATGTGAGCAGATATATAACTGCGATGAGACAGGCTTAAACTATAAAATGTTGCCTTCAAAAACTCTAGCTTCCTGGGCTGAAGCTTCAGCTCCTGGGTATAAACGAAGTAAAGAAAGAGTGCCGATTCTAGCCTGTACTAATGCTACTGGTAACCACAAACTAAGACTCACATTTATTGGAAAGGCAAAAAACCCACGAGCTTTCAAAAACATATCACCTAGTGCTCTACCAGTTTCGTACAAGAATCAGAGGAATGCATGGATGGATTCAGCAATTTTCCGAGGCTGGTTTTTCAATGAATTTCTTCCTTCAGTAGAACATTTTTTGAATTTGCTAAACCTACCAAGGAAAGCAATCCTTGTCATTAATAATGTGCCATCTCATCCTCATGAGGATGAACTGATCAGTGGGGACATTAGAGTGATTTTTCTTCCTCCTAACATCACCTCGTTATGTCAGCCTATGGATCAGAGTGTGCTTGAAGCGTTAAAGAAAAAATATTGTTGTAAGCTCTTAACTATTGTCATTGAAGCGATAGACGATGGAAATGGCATGATAGATAAGCTAAGGACAGTGAACATAAAAGATGTTATTTATTGGATCGCACAATCATGGGAAGAGATTGTACCACAAACTCTGGCAAGATCATGGAGAAAGTTACTTCCGAAAGATGAAAACACACAAGAAATGGTGCAAGAAAATTGGGATAACCTGCTACCTTTGTTACAACAAATTCCAGGCTGTGAGAAGGTGAATGATGATGATATACAGGAATGGATGGAGAAAGACGAGCAACAAGAACTGACTGACCGTGACATAATAGCTCTGGTGAATCGGGATGACAATGACAATGAAGATGAAGGTACAAATGACAATGACAAATCAGAGAGAATTAGTCATAGTGAAGGGGTCAAGACTCTCGAGGCAGCACTGGCTTACATTGAATAACAAGGGGAGGCAACTGCTAGTGATGTTATGTTGTTGAGACGCTGGCGCAACCTCATTGCAAGGAAGAGAAACAAAGCTGGGAAACAAACTTCAATCACTAATTTTTTTAAACAATAACTTTAGCGTTTTGCCATACTGCATACTAAATGTTCTGTACTCTATTATGTTAGTTATTCTGTTATTATGTTAGTTGTTCTGTGGAATGATATTCCATTGTTACAGTATATTAGTTGTTCTATAGAATAATAAGTAATAAACCTGGTTTCATACCAGTTTCTGTTTTATCCTAAATTTTCATTAATCCGACCACCACTCGGTCCTGTTTACGTCGGATAATCAGGACTCTACTGTAGTTCTTTTGGCCACAGCATCAAACTGAGAACTCATGTTCAGCTGCATATCCATTATGATCCCCAAACCTTTCTCAGAGTCATTGCTTCCCAGAATAAAGCCTCTCATCCTGTAAGCAAGGCCTTCACTTTGTACTAAGAATGGATTAATTTACCTTCAGCTATATTAAAACATATATTTTTTTGCATCCAGTTTACCAAGTGATCCAGATCATTCTATATCAGTGACATGTCTTTTTCTTTGCTTACCCAATTTTTGTGACATCTACAAACTTTATCAGTGATATTTTATATTTTATAATAATTTTTTATATTTTCTTCCAGATCACTGATTAAAAGGTTAAATACCATAAGGATAAACATATCTGTTGAATGATTGCTTTCTTTTTACAATTTACATTTTGAAACCTATGAGATTTTAATCAATTTAATGTGCCATCTTAATTTTATATTGTTGTAACTTTTAATCAAAACATCATGTAGTACCAAGAGAAGCCTACCTTTATTACATCCCCACTATTACTTTTATACACCAAACCTGAAATATCTTTAAAAATGTCTGTTTGACAGGATCTATTTTCTGTACACCTATATTCATTTGTAGTCATTACATTACTCTCCTTTAATTCTTAAAGAATACTATAGCAGCTCCATTATCTTACCCAAGATTAATATTAGGCTTTTTAAAAACTGGCACAACATTAGCTTTCTTCCAGGCATTTTCCAAGTGTTACGAGACTTATTGAAAATCAGCATTAATAATCAGTGAATTTCTTGGCAAGTTCTTTTAAAACTCTTTGATGCAAGTTATCTGGACCAGCTAATTTTAAAATGTTTGACTTCAGTAGTCTGATGGATAGGAGGAGAGCTGGCCAGCACATGGTGACTAAGGGGTTTAACTCAGGTAGCTAGCAAGGGTGTTGGCAGGGGGCCAGAAGAACCAATGGGGATACAATGCTGAAATTTGAATTGTATTTAGATACCTTGCCTGCTCTCTTTGGTGGGAAAATTCTAAGGGCTGGAGGAAGAAGATGTAGTGATCAGAATTACCATGCTTATAAGACATACTGAACATGGAAGTGAACTAGTCCTTGAAGTAAGGATCAGCATAGATCATGAAGAGAGGGAAAATGTGTATTTAGTCGTGACCAGGTTTTTTTTCTTTATTATGGTTGTTTGGTTAAACTTCTCTGTGAGTATGTCTACACAGCAAAGTTATTTCGAAATAATGGCTGTTAATTACTAGTTACTACCGTCTACACAACCAAACCACTATTTTGAAATTAATTCAAAATAGCGGAGTACTTATTGCAAATTTGGTAAACCTCATTCCATGCCAAATTTGAAATAGCTGTGTAGACACTTATTTTGAAATAGGGGGCCTCCAGCCTTCCCAGGGTGCCCTGGTAGCCACTTCAGCCTCAATCAAGAACACTCCTCTCTCCTCTCCTCTCCCCGGAGCCCTTAAAGGGGTTGACTCTGACCACAGTGCCTGTGCCAGCTCCAAGCCTGCCAGCCCAGAGCCAGCAGTCACTACCCCTGACCCAGTGGCCTCAAAACATGAGCCAGCAAGCCACTGGCAACCAGCCCTCCACCACTCTCCAGAAGCAGTCATGGAATGAGGAGTAACAGTTAATTTGAACTCAGGACTTAGTTCGAATTAACTTTTCACTGTTGCGTGTAGTCGCGCGGCAGTGAGTTCGAAAATTCCCCGCTTTAAGTTGTTTTGCTATAAGTCCAAGGTTTTTCGAACGTATCTTGGACTTATAGCCAGCATGACCTGTGTTACCTGTTACTTGCCTTTTATTTTTTAAAACAAACTACTAACAGAGAGACTTTCCCCCTCTCCCATTTATATCTTCTCCACTCTAAGTGCCAGAGTAGGGAACAGCCCTGACAAGTAGCTTGAGTATAACATCTGCTAGGGAGACCAGTGGAATCAAAAGAGCATTATCATTCCCATATGATGAGACTATATCTTCTGTTTTTCCTTAAACATAGAACAAAAATATTTATTGAACACTTCTGGGATTGTTGATGGTTTCACCATTTCTATATAATCTGAATCTGTATAATTTTCTAGATTATTTTGTTCCTAATATAGTTTTAAAAAATCATTCTCATTGTTCTTAACTCTTCTGGTGATGCATTTCTCCTTGTCACATTGCTTCCCTTATCAATTTTCTACAATTTCTAAATTCTGATTTGCATTTATCTCTGTCAACTTCCATTTCATCCATTTGTTTTATATTATTTTTATTTTGTTTTATTGTTGCATTCACTTTCCTTCTAAATCAGCTTGATTTTTTTACCAATGTGGCCTTCTTCATTGACTGTGTCTTGTTGGGCGTCTTGTAGGAAGTCTTTAAATGATTGCCAAATATCATTCAAATTTTCCTGATTAAATTCTTCCTCCCAGATGTTCTAGCTCATAATTCTTTTCAGCTTTGTGAAATTGGCCCTATTAAGGCATCAAGTATGAAAATTACTAGTCCAGAGTTTATTCTACTTGCACGTTATAAATATGGTCAAGTCATGGTTACTTTTTTGTAAGCTACTATTGATTTGTTGTTTGGGGATCATTTCCTTTTTTACCTGTAAAACAAGTTCTAATAAAGTATTCAGCAGTGATGGCTGCAGTTTTTGAATTAGAAAACAGTTATTTACAATGTTTAGAAATTCCAAAGATATTTTACTACTGACAGCATGACACCTCCAGCATATGCCACTAAAATTAATGTCCCCCGATCAGTTTTTTTGCCCTACACATTATAGATAGGTGGACAAAGATAGTGATCTCCAGCATATGCCATTCAAATTAATGTCCCCTGATCAGTTTTTCTGCCCTACACATTATAGATAGGTGGACAAAGATAGTGATACTGTTCTTCAGTGTGATTTGGTAGTCTGTAGCAGACACCAGCTAATGCCCCTTCCTGTGCTTTGTGTTCATCCATAAGCATTCAGATTCATTTTCCTCCGTGTTATCAGTGACGCAGAAACAAGTAATGCATATTTTTACATAGGTTGCCATTACCTCGTTCCCTTTGTATATTTACACTATATACTGAACAATTAGCGTGACATAAAGTGAAGACACATCTCATTATAGGCCCTGTTTTCGAATGTTTATAACTGACCAAGCAGGCTATGCATGTATGCTTATTAGAATAACAACATTAAAATTATGTGTTAGCCTGAAATTAGTTTACCTAAAACCATTAGCAGTTAACACTTAAAATTAATATACCTGAAAGATTAAATGGAAAGATTTCTCTCTATATTTTCAGTGTACTTGAGTGCACTTAATGTATAACTGGTAAGACTCTGTTCCTGCAAACACATATGCATGTGTTTAATTTAAAGTACAAGCTTCATCCTCTTGATTTTATTGAAGAATTGGGAGCATTAGCAGTTTTCCCTTTTGTTAATAGGGGTATTTCATACAGCAATAGGGGGGAAGAAAAACATTTTAAATAAAAAAATGTCATCATGAAACCACAGAAATTGGCAAGGGGGACTCAGCAGCTTTGGTAATACCTGAAGTTATTTTTCATTTAAATGATTTTTTAATTGATCAGATTTCAAGTTGATGTTACCATGTCAACCACTTCAGGGCAGGGACTATTTTTTTTGTTTCATGTTCAAACAGTTCCTAAAACAGTGGGTCTCTGGTCTATGGCTGGAGCCTCTAGATCAGACCACAATATGACTATATAAATAATAATAATTAATAACCCTTTAGGGGCACCTTTTCAAAGCATGTGTCAGTGTTTTTTGAAGTTGAAGAGTTGGTCAGTGAAGTTTGCTCATGGACTTGTTATGGGAAGCCTATTTCATTCATATGGCATCTGTGAATGGTACACAGATTTGGGATGAAGGTGTTTATTATACTTTGATTTTATTTTTCTCAGTGTGATTTAAGGGTCATGCAACAAAACCCAGCAGTAACATCCCTTCCCCTGCCTTGAATGATGAGATGTGGCTTTTAGAGATTATACCCACTTTTCCTAAGAATTATCATGATTGATTCTGGGTAATATTTATAAAAGCATCTACATCCCAATTTCAAAACCGAGGGAGATTTTCAAAGGCAGATAGGTGCTCAAGCCACCCTAAAAGTCAATGGGACTCAGATGCCTACCTACAATCTATGTTTTTTAAAATCTCCCCGCACAGAGCCTAAGAGTAGGATTCACAAAGATCATCAGGTAATGGTTCCTAACTCCCACTGAAATCAATAGCAAAAAACAGGGCTATGTAGGACTTTAAAGACTAACAAGATGGTTTATTAGGTGTTGAGCTTTCATGGGCCAGACCCACTTCCTCAGATCAAATAGTGGAAGAAAATTGTCACAACCATATATACCAAAGGATACAATTAAAAAAAATGAACACATATGAAAATGACAAATCAAATTTCAGAACAGAAGAGGGATGGGGGCTGGGGGAAAAGGTAAAAGTCTGTGAGTTAATGACATTTAGAGGTGATAATTGGAGAAGCTATCTTTGTAATGGATAAGATAATTAATGTCTTTGTTTAAGCTTAGGTGTAAAATGTCGAATTTAAGCATGAATGACAGTTCAGAGGATTCTCTTTCAAGTGTAGTCTTAAAAGGTCTTTGAAGCAGGATGCAGGTAATCAAGTCA